TTACCAATGGTATAGGTTGGATATTTTCTATTATGCATGTATATTATATATTATTTTTATAATCACGATTATAATTATGATTGCCTTTACTTTCTGGCTTTTATATTATGTAATTTTTAGCTTGCATACAATATATTTTCAGTGATTTTATATTACTTAGTTATATTTATTAATGATTTTGCTTAACACATTGTGTAATAGTGTTTTCTCTTAACTTATATTGTTTCAAAACACATTTGAAGGTTTAATGATATAGCAATTACGTTGAAATACACTTGATCATTAAAGGAAAATGAACTACAGACAGACGACAGATATGCCAAAATAAATCTGGGGTGGATGCAGGAGTTGGGTGATAGTCCACACCACCTTAGCTCCACGATGACTGGGGCTGAGGTGAGAACATTTGTAGAATATGGACATCTACAACTGTAGATGCCCGGAAATGGCACTCTCATACTTTAAAAATCTTACTGGTACTGTGTTGAAAACTGAAAGGTCCACTGATTAATCTCAGATAAGAAAGTATAATACATACTCCAAGTATTGAAATACACGCCATCGTGTTGGGATTCAATATTTCGACATTAATTATGTCATCATCAGGAATGTCATCATCAGAAATGGTACTGTGTTCATATCAACAATACAATACAACAATTAATTTTCTTAATACAATTTAAAGGGTGCGATCGCGCCGTCTGTACACCCCCAGTATCTGCCCCAGTAAATGTTATCCAAACTAGTATATTTAATCAGTTGACAGAGAAAAAAAAAATGTAATAAAAATGCTAATAAAGAAGAATAGAATGATTATACATGCTCACGTTCAGATTGTCGAACAAAGCATTTAAGTATTCTTTCTAATATGCTCTCTATAATATTTGTTTTTCATTTCTAAATATGATTAAGTCGATAAAAAAATTTGTAAAATATTGATTTTTCATTTATTGTATTCGGAGTTCTAATTAATTATTAATACTTTTATTGACAACCTATGAATGTATATAGTCTTCTTCATGTTATCTTCACTTTTAAAACTTTCCTGTACATTATATATAAACATATATTGTATTGATTTTCATTTACTGAATTTGGAGTTTTCATTAATTATTAATATTTTTATATACAATCTATGGATACTATAGTCTTCTTCATGGTATCTTTACTTAAAAGTTCTATACATGCTATATAGAGATAAACTCTAAATTATTTGCATCATATCATTCCACACATTTTCAACATTAAAAAGAAGAGAAATCTGCAAGTGTGAATAAAAAGTTGCCCAAACCAGGATTCAAACTGGAATATTCTGCCATTTTGTCATTCAAATATCAGTGGTGACTATATACTTCACTTTATAAACTTCCATTTCATGAAATTTTAATATATTAAAAAAAATAAAGAAAATCTGCCAATCAGTAAAATCAAAGCCAGTAGAGTATGCTTGGTATGACTATGCTACCACCTACTTCTTGTTTACTAACAAAATAAAAGAAAGACGTGTAGGTGGAACAAAGCAAAAAATTCCATGGATAACGTTCCAATTAGAATACGATACGGAAAAACAACTTTTTAAGCACAGGTAGTTAATTTCATACACTGACTCTTTGAACGTCTCTCTTAAAAGTGTTTACGTGGGTCCGGTATCCAACTGTTACAATTTCTGAAGAATCTTTTCACTTCTTTAACATCTTTGTATGACTATGGTATATCATATGATCAACAAACTTTGTAAATATATTTATCCTTCATTTAAGCACAGTGAAACTGAGACACTAACACAAATTTACAACTTCTATGCATTTCACAAAGGTAAGGGTAAAGAATAACTCAAAACTCGCAGTGACATTGTGCTGAATTACATTCGGGCATAGTTTGTGACTATTGTAGCAGCTGTAACAACATCTAAAATAATAAGGACTTTCGACACGATAGAAAGAACAATAATTCTTGTTATTGTCACTGAAAGACTGATTCCATGCCTTAGTTGTTTGAAATGAAAATGGTTTTCTTGCTTTATTACAACTAAAAAAGTATATTAAGTATCTATAGGTATACATTAACAAGACTTGAATACATAATTATTCTGTATGCTTTTGCCTCAACATTCATAACTCTCATTTTAATTGACATTGCAAAAAATGGTTATTGCGAGATGAAATTTGTAAAGGACATTAATTGCAGAGTAGACAATATTTAGATGAAGTATACTGTGAATCATATCAAGTTAATTAGTATCATTGTAATCTGTAATTAAACCATCTTGACTCATTCATCAAACACAACATATGCCTTACAAAGTACTTCTGTCACTCTCTATAAAGCACATAGAAGTCACATCAAATTACTTTATAATATTCATTATTATTTATTCATCTTCAACATATTAATCATCACCATCATAAACCATCATCACCTACGATTTCTATCTAGTAAAAATGTGGTCAAACCTATTATTAAGTGCACTGGGGGTGGAAATCCCCTGGCTTCCAATCTAAATGGCTTCGGAGGGCCCCTCTTTTAAAACACCTAGGCCAGTAAATGTAATTGTTCCCTGGTAAACAACACCCAAAACTAGCAAACTAAAACAATGTATTATTGCTCAGGATTAATTCATAAATGTCGTATGTGAACTCCCCTAACAAAACACTTCTTTTATACAATGCCGTGTTGAATACTTTACTGAAATACATGGTATGATTGGAATTGACCATTGAATACATCCAACAAACTGAGACAGGAAATTACTGTAAAATTCAGTGAGTAGGTTGATGCTAATCTCAACTGTTGAAATATTAATGGGATTGTCAAAGTGAAAATGGTATTGAACTGTAAAATAGAAACACTGCTGAGTTCAACGACTATCACTCACTCTTCATCAAAACCTGTGAAATTCATTATCGTGTTCACAGTACCTGTGGGCCCTGGGTGAATGACACTGGGAGTGGAAACATGTCCAATTTTAACATGGTTGCACTCTGTAAAGCTTATGTAGCTGTGTAGCCCTATGGGTAACACTTTCTTGTTTTTGCTAGCAGTCATATTTTTAGGCATACACAGAGTGCAAACACATGCAATATCTCTTCTATAGTTAAACACTATTGTAAAAGTTAAAGTTCTGGCCCATGGGTAACTATATTTGAGTGGCTAACTGTCATCATACTAGAGAGGAGACAGTTAGGTACTGAGTGGCAACATGTAAATGATACTCAAGACATGTGTAACACGATGGCTATACACTCAAGTTTATACTAGACTGTATTTTTCTACTTACTGTTTCTTTAAAAATATTGTTTTGCCCAGAGCAAGGCTAAAACCCATACAGGTAAGTCTACAACAGTATCCAGTATTAGACTACAATCTCATTTTATTTCAAGTGATGGAAAAATCACTTTATGATTAAATTGTCACTTTATTGTACAAATATAGACACAATGCACAATAGAACAGACAGCAACATTAAATATGAGAATATTGCACTGTATTGTACTGTATTTATTTTCCAAAATAATTAAGGCTATGTTCTCACATGGCGGCTAACGGTTAGCAGGATCCGGATCCTGCTAACTGTTAGCTGCTGTGCGTCCATACGAGAAAATCCCGATCCGGATACCAAGAATATGATGATCGAATCACTGGCCAACAAGAAACTGGAAATTGTAAACGCGTACGTGTGATTGGTTGATGATAGAAACGCGCTCACTTGCTAACCGATAGCGCTTGCTAACCGTTAGCGGTATCCGGATACCGCTAATGGTTAGCGCTAAGCGATTGGGCGTTCTCACGCAGGTGCTAACGGTTAGCGCTAACGGTTAGCTCCCGATCCAGATACTAGGGCTCTCGTGAGAACCAGGCTTCAAAGATGAATAAAACAATGACACATGACTCAATGATACAGTAATTTTAATATTTTATAAAGATTTTTGGACACAGTATAAAAATAATAATATACAATAACAAAAATAATATATAATAACAAAAATAATATACAATAACAAAAATAGTAATAACAATAATTAAAATAGTAATACTAACGACAATAGGATTCATAATTCAATGTCATCTGCAGCCAGAGCCGATACTTAAGGTACTCTAATGAATTGTGTAGTGGAATGTGATAGAGAGATATATAAGACGGCAACCATTTATGTTTAACACTCTGACCGCCAGGGGTTTGATAAAGTAGTATCCGGCACCAACAGACATTTTAGCAAATTTTAACACTTTTCCGAAGCTCGTTGAGAGTGCGTATGTGATCAGATTTACATGTAATTAATACTACAAGAACTACAAATATTTTAGCTTTACAATGGTACCAAACACTTTATTCTAATCACAATCTGTGACCCGTAAAAGTAAAATGAAAATTACTCACTTTTGGATGTTGAGATAATTGCAATTTCATGAAAGTAAATCAATACCGCTCTACACTAATGTAAACAAACAAATAGTGAAATACTTACGGTCCAGACTGAATATAGTGTTCAAATTGTTAGTACATGTCGGTAATTACCCTATCTATCGGATTCCGTAAAAAAAAAACTTTTAACACGGAGATCTCCGTGTTTGGCGGTCAAGCGTTGAGTTGCCAAACACAGAGATCCCTGTGTTTGGCGGGCAGAGTGTTAAGATACAGGCTAGAATTAAGCTTAGTGGTTTCAATAAAATTACTACACTATCATCGAGGGGCTAATTTACGATTATGTACAATAGCAGTAAAAACACTGTAATGACAGTACAGCGATTTTAGAAAATCAGGCTTCAGCCCGTAATAAATTGATAATGATCAACTTATCTACCCTAGAAACAACATACCATATTAGGCCAAAACAAAAAATTCTTGTGTTTGCCACGTTTTGGGAAAATCCAAAAAATGAATAGGTCAGTAGGAAAAGTTTTTTTTTATTTGGCCTTATCATCCCCTAAAATAAGACGCTAACAATATCAAAAGTTTGACAACTAAGATAACATAATCAAAATAAAATATCAAAACTTACTTTTTACGCTTTAACTCGATAGCTTGTTTATGCCTCAACTTTTGAATATTACTACCGATACTTGTTGGGGTAACCCGAAGACCAAAGCTCTTTGCAACATGGCCCAGGTGAAGATTCTTCACGTGGAATATATGCTTCAAATGAGATGGGTACGTAGCATATGCACGTATAAAGGACTGACACGCTATTAAACACAAGCAAAGAAAAATAATCAAATGCATAGCAGTCATACATTAAATATACATAAAAAAGGTGGCAAGTATAAATTGGTCTACTGTAAATAGCCCTTGTAGCGGCAATTTGGCGCAGCGGTTGAGGTTTGGGCTTTCAATCGTAAGGTCAGGGTTTTCGAGTCTCCGCTGTGCAGATTCGCTTGTGTCCTTGGGCAAGGCACTTTAGCTACATTGCTTCAGTCCACCCAGCTGTATCAATGGGTACCAGCAAACTGCTGGAAGTGTCCCGTCCAGGGGGAGTACAACTTCCATCCGCTTCACACTACAGAAACTGGGGATAAGCTCCAGTCCTATGAGCCCCAGTGGCTCAGAAAGGATTTAGTATTTAGTTAAGTAAATAGTCCTTACACAATATCAAGTTCAGTGGTTTTCTATTCATTGCCAGGTAGCTTTATTCTATTTCTATCAGGATAGGAAGCACCCGAGTCCTGGGATGACCGAGACTCAACTGGTGCTGCACAGGGTACATTTTGACGGATCAATGGTCAGCGACGAGTGTGTATCCCCATACTATGGTGTGGGTGCTGGCTTGGAGTTCTCTCCTACTTTTCAAATTACATCTTTTCTCTTGGATTTGCACATAGAGACCCTCATATTTTGCGCAGGATAAATACATAACCTTTACCTTTATACAAATTTATAATAAATTCATGAATATTGACATTGATTGACAATATTTTAACCAACCTGTTTTGGCAAGCTGTTGGTTGTCATGTTTTTTTAGGACGAAGTTCTCCATGTGTAACTGTAATGCAGATGCTGCTTCTTCCCAGGTATGATGTGCCCTCTTGCGGTTAGAATTGAAGAGGTCATAGGTCAGAAGAGTATTTAGTACATCATTAACAGCCATCTCTTTTAAACTATATAGGTGTGTGAAAATAAAGAAATTGTACTGTCACAGAATTCTTGGCAGAGTAAAGAGGGCAGATTTGTTTGGATTCCAGCTTTGATTTCCCATTACTATGGCCACTTCAACACCCAAATACTGGCCTACAGATAGATTGTATCCCCCTTCCCTTACCCCAAGATGTCTCCCTGTTTATAGAATGATAACATCAATACAGTAGTTGATTATGCAGGTGTCATATTTCTGACACAATAATGAATAAATATATCTGTACTGAAACTTAAATTTTAATTATTTAAACTCCGTCATCGAGTTTTCACTTATTTTTCCACTATAGAGGGCAAATAAAAATGTAGCCAAGAGCTCCTCAAATCAATTTTATCAAACAATTAGCAAGAGAAAAAATAGGTTCCTACAATTAATTTTTGTTGAATTTTAAGGTGTATTGGCCTTAATGCTGACAAAGATATAGGAGTTATGTGTAATATAATTTAGTAATTTGTTGATAAGTCAATATACTGTACTTGAATTTTTAAATTATACACAGTAAAGAATTTCTGAATTATTCCAACCTTATTTTTTGCTGTGATAAAATGCCTACATAGTCTACTTCAGCCGGTGTCAGGAACAGAATAGATTGGCCTTCTTTTCCAATTCTAGCCGTCCTCCCAACTCGGTGAATGTACACTTCTGGCGTTTCAGGAGTGTTGTATTGCACAATCCATTTAACCTTTGGTAAGTCAAGCCCCCTTGCTGCTACATCCTGGGGGGGGGGGGAGAGGAGGTAGAGATGGTATTTAGGGCACAGATGCATCACATACAGTACTGTGGCTCATCTGATGATGAGTTTTCTTCTTTTTACAGGCTTACTCCATATTTGATGGCTTTGGGCCAGTAGCTCAGTAGTAAGAGGTCTCCCATTAATTAAAGACACCCTCCTCCTCAATTAAAAACCACTTATCTGTGGTCCCAAATTAACAATGCATTTCACTGTATCTTTATTATTCTAATTAGAAACCAAATGTGTTAAAAACCATGCAAACCTTATCTCCAGAAGTGGTCTTTAATTGGAGGGAGACCTGTATTTTCATAAAAAGTGCTAAACCAGTTTGTGCAGTATTTATAATAATTCTTATATTTACTTTTAATATTTGATAATAAACTAAGCTTTACTTCACTGCCAAATATATACCAATGAAAGTTTTGCATAACATTGTAACTTCCTATAGAATTCCCCACAACATATTCTGCTGCAGATGATTTGTAAATTTAAGTAAGAATAAAACTGAAAAAATATAATAACATCACTGAATATTGACAAAACAATATGCATAGACCAATCAACTTACTGTACACAGTAGCACTCCAGACTGCACTAGGCAGAATTCTTGGTAAATGCTCGTTCTCTCCTGAAAAGGACATTAAAAACACATTTAAAAAGGTATAAGGATTTAATCAGAAGTAATTGCCTTTTATCGCATACAGTAAAACTTTAAATAGAAGATCAATGGGCTTAATGTCGAGAAGAAGCCCATCTCGAATTGAAGCCCCACTCTTTAGTTTGCAAAAGTAGCCTTGAAAAGAAGCTTATCTTGAAAAGTACCTCATGGGTTTACAAAATCATACAAGAGTTTATAGGCTTCGTTCTGGTGGTAAAATATTGCCAAAAAAGTGGACAAAAACTTAAGAGATTTTAGATTGGTCAGACAACACAAAAAGCAAATGTCTTGGTTGTATTTAGTATGTTTGATTGACTTGTGTATTAATTGGCAAGCGCATATGTTGCATGTGAATGACATGAAGAATTCTTACCAAAATATTATGCCTAATTGTCGTCAAACATATTGTTTGTCTTAATTCATTACTAAAAGTTGTACCCTTTGGCCCAGTTAAATATATTGACATAATGGGGCTGAAATCCTGTCATTTTACAGCCAACATATTTGTGTCGTCAAGTAATTACAGAAACATTAAATAGGCGTTCAACTCAATTTGAGTGCAATTAAACGTACTTAAATGAGGCATGATGGTTATTTTGGATTCTTCATAAATATAAGTAACTAGCAAATTACATATTAAATCTGGTAAAGTTTATAATTCTTTTTTTTATTGTATGGTATCCTGGTGGCCAATCAGTTACTGTATATTAAAAATGTGACATTTTTCAAAATATTCAAAGTATTATAAATGGTGTTTTAAAATACTTGGACCCATGGCAGCAAATTAGCTCCACTAGTTGGTTAAAATACTAAAAATGACCATTAATTTTTCATTGGAATAGGGATTTAGTTCCTCATTCTGGAATTTAATTCCGCATTCTAATTTTTCACTCCTCCTCCCCCCCCAGGGGTCCAAACCAGCCTACACCCTAATATAAGTTGTGTATACTCTAGTAAACAGGATTGCAAGAAAAAATTTAAAAATACAATCGAGATGAGCAGGACATGTAATCAGGAAATGGTGGAGATGGTGAAGAACACAAAATCTGGCAACAAGCAAAAGTTTAAAAAGAGAGTGAGAAAATCACCTTTCTTCAGCAGTTGATCAAAAAGATGAAGAGAGATAATGGAGTGATTATTCACATATAAACTGAATGAGTCAATCATTCAATTAATGAAGTAATAAATAATCAACGAACCAAATAATGAACCAAGTCCCAACTCAAGAGGGCGCTACATTAAACACTCATTGTCATCACATACACTATGCATTAGAATGATTCTGCGATGATCACAAAATGAAAAGGTAAAAAGGTTGAAAAAATTCTGCAAGCAACCTGGTTTATTTGGTAACTGTTTCAAACCGACGGTGACGCAGCTCACAAACCTAGGTTGTTTCCATTCAGGTGTAGCACAAGTTACTACAGCATTTTCCCCCTGTCAGACAGGCCTCGACCCCACTGGCATTAGACGAATGACATGGTCGTCGGATCAAAAATTTTAAAAATATATAATTTGCCTATGCAAATAACGATATTTTGATTGCCAATCCCTAATATTGTGGTCCAAAAGCACATTTTGGACCATACTAGGCCATAAAAACTCTCCCCATGAACCCTATCAAATGATTTTTTTTATTCCAAGCCGTTGACCGAGGCTTCGTTAGCCCTTTTGTTCGGACCACACGTCGGACATGTTGGACCCCTCGTCAGCAAATTTCTGGCACCACTGCTGACCTTGCATAAGAATTTTGTATGAGTTAGTTTCAGTTGCTTGAGTTGTCTATACAAGTTAGGTGGAAGTACCCCAGTACTCTGAGTTAACATATAGTTGTTTCCTCGTCAACTTGTGACCTAACATTTTAAAATTACCGCAACATGTTTAGAGCTGCTGTGAATAACTACGAATTCTTCCCAAGGTGCCTGAATTAATTTTTAAAAGTTGTCCTACAAGTTACTAACTCAGCCAACTCCTCAAGACTGAACGGTAAAAAAAAAAACCCTAGACGATAATAAATAATAGTTAACTGTTGAACAGATATAATAGTGGTTATACAATACTGAAGACACTAATTAGCAACATCAACAATAAAAATAATAATTGTATTAAACAAATAGAAATTTGATTTTTGTATAAAAAAAAAATATCAAGATTTAAAAAATATCTTGATATGATTGGAGTAGAAGGAAACACATTTAAGCTAATGATTTAATGTAGTCAATACCTATTGAAATTGTAGTTGGATAACAGAAACAACAGCTTATTCTTTGGAATTCTTCCAACACTGTCTTATACTCCAGTGACAATGTTTTATTACATCAGTGCTGCATTGAGATGGCCAAAATACATCATTAATTGTATTGGATGAATAATACTATAATTATTGATCATGTTATAAACTTCATAAATATACATTTCATTTTGTTTTATGAAGTTATTGATGAATATCATCGTTACGAGGACCCTCACCTCTTGCGTCATATTTCCGTGTAGCTTATAGAAGTTTATTTTCTGGTCATCATCTTGTTCTTCCCTTGTTCCTCTTAATAATTCATGGACTTTATCATCTTCATCCTCTTCTTTATTGAGAATGCGACTGAGGAGAACACTATGAAATTCAACGGCATCTCGACTAGATAGGAACACAACAACTTTTGACTTCTCAGAAATCTAAAGGATATTTGAAAAGTTTTAAATTAAAATATTTCTTGAAGGTTTGCATGTCGAGTATCAATACCAAAATCACAAATTTTCGGTACAAACATGGTGTACCGGAAGTTTATGATTTTGTTTTTGTTAAGTTTTGAACCATAGAAGCAGTAGGTGCATCGGTTGTGGCTTGGACTCCAAACCTTGAGGTCAGGGGTTCAAAAATCTCGCTGTGCAAGTCACTTGTGTTTTTGGGCAAGGCACTTTATTTACGTTTGTCTCTCTCTACCCAGGAGTATAAATGGGTACCTGGTAGGATGTATAGGATGTTGTAGCATTATGTTCTAGTTTTGTGCGCTAAACAAGTAGCAAACGACTAGGGATACTCCCCAAGGTCGACTTTGTGCTGGTTTGCCATTGTACAGTACGTTATCCAGTGACCAGGGGTAATAACGCTCGCGCCTTTAATCATTTAAATTTGGAATTGGCGCCTTATAAATGTTTCGGTATTATTAAATTATTATGACAATTATTATGACAATACTGAAAGATAAATATACCATTAATAATAAAGGAACTAATTATCACTCAGGTGGAATAATAAAGTAATTAATTATGGAAAAGCAAAAGAACAGAAATTAGATCCTCTTCCTCTTACTGTATGTTTCTCTTATGTTATTTTAAAAATGTACACAAAATTTTTATTGATTCTACTGAAAAATAAGTGGTGGATACAACCACAACATCATATAATTTATACAGACATCCTTTAATTAATTGAATGATAATTCTGAATTAATGTAATTTTGTGGTTCAATACAATCAGTGCCAAATAAGCTGCGGAAATAATAACCAAAAAAAAAAAAGCTAAGACGACAACACAACAACAGTATGCATAAAGTTTGCTCTGCCTTCCACAATTATTTAAAAACTGCTTTATATATACGTGTGAATACTTTTTAGTAGTTTTTTTTTTAAAAGAATATTAGCTTATCATGTTCATGTTGCAGACTACGGACACAAAATTACAGATTTTATTCACAAAATTTAAACTGTGTCTACATTAGGACTATTTTTACAATTTGTAAATTTATTTTTTCTTTCAATTTTTTAACTATGATGTGAATGGATTCAATTTCCTTCAAATTGTAATTCTTAATACAATAAGCTATAAAAAATGTTTGATTTTGGTTATGCATTAAATATGGTTAAAAAAAAGGACTAATGATATTGGTTAGTTTGTATTGTTTATTGCAAGAACAGTGGTGCTTTAGGTTAGGGTGATACAAACTGGCTCCTAGGAGACCTGCATTATACTGCTTTCATTATTTTGGCATAGTTCAAATTACACATTGTTCACTGTATTGATGCTGCATCAGAAAAGTAGGGCATGAGACAAAAATGAAAACTCATTTAAGATTTGCACGGCCTTTAAAAACGAATGAGCAGAAATTTTTATGTCCAGTTATAACACCGAGAATCAACTATTAAACTTGATAGCTAGAGACAAACTTTCAGAATTTAAACCATTTCATTTGCTGTTGGTGAAACTGTTGAGTTAAAGTTTGTATTCTAAATTTTTTTTGGTGAAAAACAAACTAAACAATTTCCTGGCAATTATCAAGAGATCTATTAGACAAAGTCCTTCCTGTAATAAATTATTTTTAATGATGCGAAGTGAATGACGAACTACGCTTTCATAAGGAGATACATATAGACGACATGTATATCAGGCTCATGCAGTACAGGTAAAAAAGATCAAGAACATGCTGGTGCTGTCCAATGGAAGCTTCACCGTGAAGAAGTTGATTTCCAACTGAGATCATAAAGCTCTGTCCAGACTATCAAATTTTCTCTCACAAAAATCTATTGTATGCCCATATATAGTCATAAAGTGCCTATATATGGTCATGATATGCCTATATATGGTCATGATGTGCCTATATATGGTCATGATATGCCTATATATGGTCATGATGTGCCTATATATGGTCATGATGTGCCTATATATGGGCATGTCACATGCTTTAGTCAAATAAAATTTGATAGTCTGGACAGGGCCTTGCATATTACAACTATGAAGTCTAATATAAAGTAACAATGAATTATGTGCATGAATTAGAAAAGTATTAGAAAGGTATTTAGAGTGAGACAGAAACCTCAAGTGGTGAACTTGAATCTGAGGTGACATTGGCTACGTTCAGAATTGGAGGAGATAAGCCAGGCCTGAGTTAAGCCTGGCTCAACGTTAAGCCCGGCTTAACTTTGCCGAGTGTTCAGACTAGCGGGTTTAGCCAGACGAAAATTTGCATAATAATGAACCGTAACCAGGAAACGTGTTTCAAAACATTGCTCGCGAAACATACATACGCTCGCTCACAGCGTACGTAATTGAATGCTGATTGGTCATTTTGTTACCCGGAAGGCAATGCAAAACCCCCACCGCAACGATTAAAGCCGGGCTTAGAAACGTTAAACACGGTGGCGTGCCAGGCCTAGTTACTATAGGAACACAGCCCGGCTTGAGATAAGCCACCTAGTTCAGACTGGCAGGTGAAGGATTTGACAGCAGAGGAAGTGAACTAGAGATGTTGTTGCTGCAGAGAGTAAACCATGATCATTTTAAACTAGATTAAAGACCAAACTAATATTATCAATCATGAATGTACAATCTACAGCAAAATCGATTTATGTTTCCCTGTACAAAAGGAAAGAGGTCCACCATCTGTTGGTCTGTAATTGTTATTTACGCTTGCAGTGTAAATTAAAATGAAAGATTATATAACTGAACAAAAAACAATAACAATATAATTATAACATTATACTGATGATAATAAATGTATTTATAGTGCACTCCATTATTATCATTTAAGCATCCAAGATGCAGTACCAATTTAAGAGAATCAAATACAAAAATCTTTTTCACTCCTGGAAGGGGGGGGGGGTAGTTATAGTCATACTCGAATATCCAACATTATTAGAAACTATCGGTAAATGTCCAGTTGATTTATGATCAGGTGATGCCGGGGAGGGACAATTAGATTTCCTGCACCACAACAAGACATCCATTCATAGAAGCCTTTGTGAAGAAAGCCTATCCAGTGAGTGGTGGCCATGGTTGCCCGGACCAGCTAACTTCGGCTTTGAATTTAGAAAGATTGAAATGTGCTAAATTGAGTATACAATGCACACAATGATTACGAAAGTCCCTAGCCGAGATTCTAGTACCTAACCCCTATATTCATTAATTTTTAGTATATTATCAAAAATGAATACAAAATCAAATATTTGAAGGAACAGGAAGGAAGAAGAATAGGAAAGAAACTTGGGGTGGCTGAAATTATTATAAGAAAAATAAATAATAATATTGTCATTATTATGTTTATGTTTTTGTAAGTTTACTTAAGTATGTTTTATCCCACATATTTATCTTTCTTTATTTGTTCTACTTGATAAATAACATACAAATAAATAATTCACAAAGCACAGAGGTAAGTGAGAAAAAAAAACTTATCAAGTGAAGGAGCCTAAAATTTAATTTAAAAAAAAAATGTCTACACAAAACACATCTACAGTAACAGAAATTACTTGCTGCAGTCTACACATTTTGACTCTTGGGTAAAAGAGAAATAAAAATAGTTGTTGTACTGTTAAGAATTCAAACCTCAACATCACTACAGAGATACTAAAACTGTTTCACAAACTGTTCCCAATGCTAAAAAACCTACTCAGCTTTAGTGAGTAGTCTTTTGGTTTATTAGATAAATAGCAAATGTGCGAGTGAATACCTTGCATCGCCAGAGCAGAAATGTAGCTAAGGTTACAAGTCTCAGTTTACTGGGCACAACCAAGAAATGTTGCTTCAACTGGTTTGGTGTCGTATAGTATTTGTCAGTTCCTTTCGTCGGTTCCTTGAAGGAGGCCGGTCCAGACCCAACCTTCTCTTGGTCTTTTGCTATGTTGATGTAAAGGGGGTCGTGGAGAGATATCCCTGCTAGACGCTCAACTCCTATGGGTTAACAATTATGTATCAGATTATGGTTGTCAGTTAAAGTGAATAAAAGAACATAAACTAAAATTATGCATGCTATTGTGGGAAATAATTAAGAAAATGTGTTTATACTCACTGTGGGTATTGAATTGAAATAAAATGAAATAAATTATAGTAACTTTATATAGTAGCTAAACTAAAATGAGTATACTAGTATTCTAAAACTTATTTATTGATTAATAAACTGACTGACATTATTATTATTATTATTAACTTAATCTTTAATTAACTGTAACTCTTAGTAATAAATTATTATTAATTAAATATTATTTATCTTAATCAAGGTTGGCTGAGAAACATACTAATGTTCAGGGCTTGAAAAAGTGCATGAACGGCAGTTGGAGGCATTATACAGTACATCATCCCAGAGGTATTATTAGGGGTAAAAAAACACTTTTACATAGTCAAACATTTCCAACAGAATTGAATTTAACTCTCGTTGATTGAAGTCAGTCTTGTTGATTGAAGTTGTTCAAGCAGGTTCCAAACTCCAATAGACTTTGTATAAGAATAGTAAAGGTCCTAAATTATTAGCTCTCCACTTACCAAGCCTTATAAGACTTTAATATAAGAAAACCAAGTTTCCAATGTTTAGTCTTCCATTCCCAATGCTCTTAAGAGATCTGTTTTAGATGTATTCAGGGTTATAAATTATTAGAACTGCTAGTTCTGCTAAATAAATATGCTAAAAAAGAACACAAAGATGAAACTTAACGTTTACCTTCAGTTAGTGTTGCAGATAGCAGAACATTTTGCCTTGAACTGCTTTGTTCATTTACAGAGTTAGTTATCGTCGCAATATCCTTTTCGAAGCCCATGTCTAGCAATCTGAAACATTTAAATTTTATCAATGATGTCTTCTATGATTGTTTAGATACACCAATCACAAGACAGAGAAGTCACGGTGATTACATTATCAACAAGCTACTTAGGATAAATGCTGCCCACCTAAACTCATCTATTCACGGCCAATATCTCAAGAAAAATGTTGACATGAGTTCCAAATTGGATTCATTTTACACATTTACTAGCATAGGCAGGCCTGGAATTCTGTTTCCAATAATGCTGCAAGAACGTAATTCTACATATTAAGTTTATGACAGACTATTAATAAAACACGAACAGAAAAGTTGTTTTCTGAAATTTCAACCCATATTTGTTGAGCTGACTGAGAGCCAGAATATTCCATTACAATGCAAAACTTGCTCTATGTTGTTGACTAAAATATTCATCGTTCAAAAAAAATCTGTATGGCATTCAACAAATTATGCTCATCTCAAATCAAGGACTTACCCAGTGAGCCGTCAACAATTATTTAGGACGGCCACTTTTACTGTGAAGGCTTGGCCTACTCAGCTCGGCCTAGTTGGGCCTGATATATCTTTAGCAAATTCTTTATATTCTTCGAATCTATTTAATGTTGCATTAAACTGAAGTTAAATCATATTTATGTTTGATAAAACAACCTTTATTGATTAAATTTACGTTGTTTTCATACCGACATTCGGTGGGAATTCCTAAAAGGTAAACCATTGCCTACCCAAGGACTTATAACTGTTACCGTAATAGGAACTTGGCTGGTTTAAGCATTCTAACTTGAATTAGCCTTATGTGTGGTATTGTTATGCTAATAAAACAGATAAGCACAATCTGCACATGCTCAGAACAACAAAACTTTCCTTACCACACTGAAAATCGGCTAGGCATATAGCCAAGCCTGGCTGAGAATTACGGTACGGTTAAACAATCCAAAATAAGGGTACTAATTTCACTTGGCATGCAAATCAATCATACTTACATACTTAAAAACTAATTAATCTAATAAATAAAATCACCTGCTAGTTAAGATATAAGGCATGTATTTTCACAAATTTGATTTTAAATTGATGTGATTTTGTTTTGTAGTATTACAATGAACATCACATAGCCCATAGCCTAAGCCTGTGCCTAGGCCATATATAACCACTTGTAAAAATGTAGAAAAAATCACATCACTTTAAAATCAAATTTGTGAAAATACTTGCCTTATATCTTAACTAGCAGGTGATTTTATTAGTAGATTAGTTTGTTTTTAAGTGTGTAAGTATGATTGATTTGCATACCAAACCGTAATTCTCGGCTAGGCCTAGCTGTACGCCTAGCCGATACACAGTGTGGCTATAGGAAAGTTTTGTTTTTCTGAGAATGTGCAGATTGTGCTTATCTGGCTCATTAGCATAACAATACCACACATAAGGCTAATTTAAGTTAGAAGACTTAAACCTGCCAGTTTCCTATCCTGGTAACAGTTACAAGTCTGTGGTCTACCTGGTGAAACTTTCACTTGCAACGTATTTCGTGTTAAAAACATATTTATACCCTGCTGGAAAATGAACGGTTTTAAGTCACCCACAACACATGTACGTGGCTCTGCAAACACAGTGCTTGAGATTTGGTTCCCCAACTCCCTGGTTATAATTAATACATAAAATAATGTAAAGCAGATTTGTTGTTAACATCACAAGTTAAATTGTAATATAGTCAACAAAATAAGGTAGACTTAGGCCTATACATCTCTCGATTCGGAGGACCTAGAGTAAAATTTATACTAGACTAGGATGAGAGATGAAGATGCATCTGTATAGCCTAGAAAAATAATGTGAGTTAACAACCCTAGCCATGCTTAGCCTATGTCTATAACTGAAATATCTTTGTGATAGCTAATTCACAACTATTATTTTGAAGACAAATTCCAACATTTAAACACCTTTAAATGCTATCTAAAGGTCATAATTTTCTATTTTTTTCTTACACAGGGAGGGGGACACCCCTTCCCATCCCAAACCCACCACACTAGAGGCCACGACAATCAGCTTTCGCTACACAACAAGTTCTATGCCTTCCATTTTGGATGGCCTATTTCGTTTTTTTGGCTAAACCCCTGTCTCAATTGTACCACTGACCTGTAAAACCCCCACAGCAAGAGGCAATTAATATTCTTAAAGCTGTGCATTTTGAGACTTGCACACCAAGATGCCCAATATGAAATGGTTTGACAAACTCACAAGCAATCTATAGACCCTAGGATTTCAGCTGAAAAAAGTGTAACTACACAAATGACACACTGAGGCAGACCAACAGAGCCATCATGCTCCTAAAGCTCTGTACAGATTACCAAATTTTCTTTGACAAAACTGTTGTATACCCATATATAGTCTTGATGTGCCTATATATGGTCATGATGTGCCCATATATAGTCATGATGTGCCTATATATCATGACCATATTTAAAGTGCCTCTGCCACCTATTCTGACAATTTTTATAAACTACAGTGTGTTTATATTTATAAATATATTATAAACACAAGTGTTGGTCATATATTACGAATAAAATTGTTTTTGTACGAAAAAAATTAGTTTAAAGTGTCATTTTTGAAAGACCTTAGAAACAACGAGGTCACTCAATGACGTCATTGGTGACCGACTTTTCCAAACTTCATCCAAGCGCGAAATCAGAACAAACACTGCGACGGTGGCCTAGTGGAGGAAGAAAAGCCCAACTTCTACCCTAGGCTGTTAGTATATTACAGTTTCCCGAGTTTTACACAATATGCCAGTAAATTGTGTTGTAGGGGGTTATAAGTGCACACGAAGTAAATGTTTTACGTTACCTAAAGATAGTACT